GTTTGACAAAGTACAAATGATTTGCAATGGTCACTTTGTCGCATCCAGTGTGGACAGCCTCAAGCTGTTGGCTTACCTCCGGCCTTTTTTTCACAATTTATTTGTTGAATTTTTTTGGCTAGCATGAAGCTGATACACAATCAAACAGTGCCTGGTGGCTATGGAGAAGCACATGGATGGGTTGTAAAGCTACTTGATTTGTCATTTTGTACTTGGAGAGTGGAGGACGTGAAAAGAATGAGGTATCAGTGGCAGTGGATGATGACTTGGGAGCCGGTGTAGCTTAGTGGGTAGACTGTAAAATGTTGAATTTAAATGGATTCATTCCTTGTTCTGAATGCTTTGTTGTAGTGGTGTAGTGGTTAAGAAGCTGGGCTGATAACCAAAAGATTTTGAGTATGAAAACTACAGCTACAGAAGATAGGAAATTAATTCCACCGTCCCTCCGTAGTCTGTACCTCGACAAACAGATCTCAGTTCTCAAAATAATGAGTGGCCCCATTTCTCTAAACCCCTCCACTCGACACACAGGCTAACTCAGTAAGCCAGAGAAATCATATTAAGTGTGGAAAAACATATATATGTATATAAACACCCAGAGTTACGCTTTACGAACTGCACAAGTCTTTAACGGCAAAATGACTGATTTATAATCTGCCAGGCTTGTGTTTGTGGGTGTTTACAGCAAGGGTTTTGAGAATGTGCATGCTAATAGATTAATAGCACAGGCTTCTTTTTTTCATTTCTTTTTATTTCCAGTACCTCTTCCTTTTCACACGTTTCACACGAGTTTAGAATAGAAAAAGCGACTTTGTGCTAGCTTGAGCATGATTCATTATTAATTAATGATAATTGTCTTTTGTCAGGCATCGAGCTACAGCTTTTCTGTAGTTTTATGTTATTCAAATAAATTAAACCTTTATTTTGAATTTTATTCATATAATAACTAACTTTACTAGTGTGTATATATATATATATATATATATATATATATATATATTGTGTTCCAAATTATTATGCAAGTGACATATCAATAGGATTTTTGTACAATAAAGAGTCAGATTTTTGTTTGTGTTGTTTTTCACATCATTTCAGGTAACTGGTATCAATCTCGGACAGGTTTGTTCAATAGTTTGCCAGGTCTTCTTAGGTAAATGGAAACCCTACTTAAAGGTTGTTCCACATTATGAAGCAAGTCACAGTTCTCATGAAATATTGTGAGGAAGAAAGATCTTTCTGAAGATGAAAAGTATGAAACAATGCAATGTCTTGCAAAATGCATGAACACATTTTTATTTTGCGAAAAGCAAATAGAAATTATTGAACTGTCAGTAGATCCTCTCTATGCAGACTGGCAGTTGTGTGTAAACTTGTGTTTCAGTCCCTGCTAACCAAACCTCACAAAGAGAAACCTGCACAGTGGCTGTAGAAACACATTTTTTCAAACTGTTTAGCACCATGGTATTTATGCAGCATGGGATAAGTGTGTTGTCCTGCATGAAAATCCTTTTATTTCTGAGAGCACTATTCTTCATTTTATACCACAGCAGAAAATGGTCAGTTATGAACTCCACATATCTTGCAGAAGTCATTTTGATTCCCTAAAATACACACAACTGCCAGTCTGCATGGAGAGGATCTTGAGACTCCAGTAGCTTCAAACACCTGTCTGCAATGCAATTCATTTGTTTGACAGAAACTTTCCTTAATAAATCTTTATCTGACCAAGATCTTCTGTGCTCTAAGTCACTCACAAATATTTTGACAG